CCGAGGTGCCATGTGTCTCCAGCCATACAGGAGTGGTTGAACTCGACGCCCCTGCCTGCCCGACCGTCCCAGCTCCTCTCCACCCTGGCCAGGCTGCTGCTGGAGAAGATGGGGGGGTCCTCAGGGGCGGTGAGTGCCACAGATGGGGACTTGGGTAGGTTTGTCCCCGCTGAGCTGATCCCTGCCCCCCCTTTTGGCAGGGGGTGCATTATGGCCCTTGTGGGAAGATATGAGGCCTGCGGAAAGGTTGGGGGTGGTATATGGATTCTGTGTCCGATCGCCCCGTGGGAGGGATGGTATTTCATCACCTCGGGGGAGTAGGAGCCCTGCCATCTCTGTGCCCATTGCCCTGCGTCAGGGCGGCACTGCTACTGAGCAGCCTGGCATTTCCCTTGTAGCTGTACGGGCTGTTCCTGACGGCGGCTGCGCAGCCCCTGCAGAGCCACAGTGACCCTGCGGCCTGGGCTGCTGCCATGGAGGCCGGCATCAAAGCCATGCAGCGGTGAGTAGAGCCCACAAGGCGGGTGCAGGGTCATGTGGGTCCAGGGGGAAATTGCAGCAGTGCCTGGCCCTGCCAGGAGAGGGGGGACCCTGAGTGGGAAGGGCAATGGGGCATTCCCACCCCTACCAGCAGCCTGTGACCCCTCCGCGGTGGGTCCATGGCACTTCTCTGTGCTCGCTACTGATCCCTTTGCTTTCTGTGCCAGGTATGGGGGAGCCGCACCTGGGGACAGGACCATGGTGAGTGACAAGCAGCTGCCCTGCCTCCTGGGCACATGATGTGATGGGGACTAAGCAAAGCTCTGCCCGTGCCCGTTACACTGCCACTGGGGACCCTCTTGGTGCTATGCCTGCTCCCATCTACAGGCAACACTGAAGGCAAGGGAGGCCATTCAGTGCGGACACAGGGGTATTCCCCATCTGGCACTGCCCCCTGCGGGCTCAGACTGGCACTGCCCCCCAGTGAGCTCCAGAGGGATCAAGGGGCAACCTCTGCTCAGTAACCCTGACCCCAGCCACGTGCCCCGTCTCCCAGGAGCCCTGCCCTCACTACTCCTTCCACTTGTGTCTTGGGCAGCTGGATTCGCTCTGTGCTGCTGCTGAGGAGCTGCGTGCCCTGCAGGCCCCTGGTGCAGAGCTGCTGCCAGTTTTGGCCAAGGCAGTTCAGGTATTAGAGCTCACTTCCCACCAGGCCCCACCCTTCAGTGGGACAGGGAGGAGCTAGTGAAGGGGTGGAGCCTGCAGCTGAATGGGCCCCTGAGCGGATTCCAAAGCCGCATGAAGGGAGTTGAATGTGGGGCTGTGACCCTGTTGGTCTCATGAGCAGAGTCGGGGCAGGCAAGCCCTTGGGCACCTTGAGAAAGCTGCAGGAAGGGGGGTGAATGGCTCTTAGCAAGAACTGAGCCAAAGCCTAGCGTGAGACATGGGGGTGCTGTGCCAGTGGACTGCTGTCTTTGATGGAAATGTAAAACACAGGCCCTGGCTATGTCTAGACAGGAAAATTCCTATGGTGCAATTTGCAAAAGCAGGGGGTGATGGGTATCAGCAGAGCTCTGGAGGTGCCGAGATAGCAGGGGAGCTGTGGATCAGGATTGAGGAGCATTGGCACAGCTCGGGGGCAGGATGGAGGGACATCGGGAGAGTTGTAGAGGGAAGCCCCTCTCCCGCAACTACTGGCTGCATGCCCGACCCAGTTTTGTTCCCATGTCCCTTGGAGACACTCCCGCCCATAACCTGCTCCCTCCCGTGGTCTCTTGGCAGAGCGCAGAGGCTGCGGCTGAATCTACCAAGAACATGGAAGCGGGCGCTGGCAGGGCCAGTTACATCAGCTCGGCCCGCCTGGAGCTACCAGACCCAGGGGCCGTGGCAGCAGCAGCCGTTCTGCGCGCTGTGCTGGAAGGGTTACAGAGCCAGAGCGGGTGACTCTGCCACCTCCCCCTGCTCCTGAGCACCTCCCCCACTTTACCCTCCTCCCCCTGCAAGTCCCTGGGGCCCTTCTGCGCTGACTTGCACACCCTTTGTAGGCAAGACAAGCAGAAGTGATGTTAATGGGAGTCCTGCCAAGAGCTGGCTCAGTGCTCCTGGATCTGCCCAGAGCAGGATCTCATCGGTGGGAATGGGGGCCAGCAGGGAGACTGTGGTCATCCCTGTGCCCACTGCTCACTGGTCCCCCAGTTCATCCCTGTTACTGGGTGCTGTGAGTGCGGTGGCTGTAATAAAGAGTCCTGCCCCAGAGATGATGGCCTGTTCCCTTCTGTATGTTAAGGAAAAGTTAGCACATGTGACTCTATTTTGGTTTGGGGCCCACCATTGTCTAAAAGGAAGCACATCGTGCACCAGGAGAAGTGTTCCTTAGATACTGCATTCCTGTGAAAACCCTCCTCCTTGTCTCCAGCCTGCCTTGACTCCCGATATCTGTTCTTTGTCTGTCCCTAACTCCCTATCTCCTGGCCTTTGATGTGAGGCCTCCCATCCTGATAATAAAAGTTACTGATGCATTGCTTTAGTACCATGCTGTGTAATTAACATACTAGTTTAGCACCAGGAATGCACCAAGCAGGGATAGGTGGTAGATAAGAAAAGGGTTTGTTTATTGGCTAAGGTTTCCGATGCACAAGGGCAACATGCTTTGCTAAGAGGTATATAACCTTTGTATAATCTGTATTCTGGCTAGCAGGGGCGCACCACGCTCGAGCATAATGAACTTGGTGGTTTTTTGGGAACTCTGCAGTTGTGGACTTTGATCATGTGCCTCAGCCTAGATTCAAACTGTGCGTGACCTATCGGGTATAATTCGCAGCAGTTGTGGGCGTGACCTATCGGGTATAATTCATAACATGTAGCAGCAGCGCTTGCCCACCCGCCTCGTTCTCACAGCACAGAACAGGCTGGAAAAAGGCTCATGTAGTGCCCATCTTTAAAACAGGGAAGAAGGAGGATCCTGGGAACTACAGGCCAGTCAGCCTCACCTCAGTCCTTGGAAAAATCATGGAGCAGGTCCTCAAGGAATCCATTCTGAAGCACTTAGAGGAGAGGAAAGTGATCAGGAACAGTCAGCATGGATTCACCAAGGGCAAGTCATGCCTGACTAATCTAATTGCCTTCTATGATAACTGGCTCTGTGGATGAAGGGAAAGCGGTGAACATGTTGTTCCTTGACTTTAGCAAAGCTTTTGACACGGTCTCCCACAGTATTCTTGCCAGTACGTTAAAGAAGTATGGGCTGGATGAATGGATGATAAGGTGGATAGAAAGTTGGCTAGATTGTCGGGCTCAACGGGTAGTGATCAATGGCTCCATGTCTAGTTGGCAGCTGGTATCAAGTGGAGTGCCCCAAGGGTTGGTCCTCGGGCCAGTTTTGTTCAATATCTTCATAAATGATCTGGAGGATGGTGTGGATTGCACCCTCAGCAAGTTTGCAGATGACACTAAACTGGGAGGAGAGGTAGATACGCTGGAGAGTAGGGATAGGATCCAGAGGGCCCTAGACAAATTAGAGGATTGGGCCAAAAGAAATCTGATGAGGTTCAACAAGGACAAGTGCAGAGTCTTGCACTTAGGACGGAAGAATCCAATGCACCGCTACAGACTACGGACCGAATGGCTAGGCAGCAGTTCGGCAGAAAAGGACCTAGGGGTTACAGTGGACGAGAACATGGATATGAGTCAACAGTGTGCCCTTGTTGCCAAGAAGGCCAATGGCATTTTGGGCTGTATAAGTAGGGGCATTGCCAGCAGATCGAGGGACGTGATCATTCCCCTCTATTTGACATTGGTGAGACCTCATCTGGAGTACTGTGTCCAGTTTTGGGACCCACACTACAAGAAGGATGTGGAAAAATTGGAAAACGTCCAGCAGAGGGCAGCAAAAATGATTAGGGGACTGGAGCACATGACTTATGAGGAGAAGCTGAGGGAACTGGGATTGTTTAGTTTGCAGAAGAGAAGAAGGAGGGGGGATTTGATAGCTGCTTTCAACTACCTGAGAGGGGGTTCCAAAGAGGATGGGTCTAGACTGTTCTCAGTGGTAGCTGATGACAGAACAAGGAGTAATGGTCTCAAGTTGCAGTGGGGGAGGTTTAGGTTGGATATTAAGGAAAAAACTTTTTCACTAGGAGGGTGGTGAAACACTGGAATGCGTTACCTAGGGAGGTGGTGGAATCTCCTTCCTTAGATATTTTTAAGATCAGGCTTGACAAAGCCCTGGCTGGGATGATTTAGCTGGGGATTGGTCCTGCTTTGAGCAGGGGGTTGGACTGGATGACCTCCTGAGGTCCCTTCCAACCCTGATATTCTGTGAACAGCTTCTTCCCCCTTCACTCCCCCCCCCCCCGGGGGTGTTTCTGACTTCGGGGTTACTCTAAAAGCAGCCCCGCTCTGATGCTGAACAGCACCTCCTACTGCTGGGGCTCAACTCCCTTAGGCATGGACAGCAATAAATTGCACCAGCTGAGCAGGGAACAATACAGGCTGTGCCTGGCTGTAGCCTCTCCCCCTTCCCCCACCCCCAGAGGATTTCCAAGCACCTCCTTCCAGCTGTTGGTGAATGAATTGTTCCCTCCCCAGGAAGCGGGGTCAAGTGGTGTCCAGAGTCCCTATTGCATGGAGGAGAAAACTGAGGCAACCAGCACGGACGGTCACATGGTGAGTCAGTTCAGAGCTGGCACTAGTTCTGAGCTCCAGAGCTGAGGTTTCAGCCCTGGCCATGCCTCCTCATACGGTGCACCTGGGTGTGCCTGTCAGGGTTCCCTCACCACTCTGAAAGACCCCCTGATCTTATTTCTACCAGCTTAGAAATTAAAAGTTAAAAACTTCCCGAAGGCACAAATCCTTCCTTGTCCTTGGATAGGTACTGCTGCCACCACCAAGTGAGTTAGACAAAGATTCAGGAAAAGGACCACTTGGAATTCCTGTTTCCCTAAAATATCCCCCCAAGCCCCTTCACCCCCTTTCCTGGGCAGGCTTGAGAATAATCTACCAACCAAATAGGTAAACCAGAGTCTTAATAAACAGAACTTTATTATAAGGAAAAAAAAGTAAAAGAAGCACCTCTGTAAAATCAAGATGGAAGGTAACTTTACAGGATAATCAGATTCAAAACACAGAGGATTGCCCTCTAGGCAAAACTTTAAAGTTACAAAAAAATCAAGGATAAACCTCCCTCTTAGCACAGGGAAAATTCACAAGCTAAAAACAAAAGATAACCTAACGAGCCTTGCCTTATTTACTTACTCTTTTTGCAATATTGAGACTCATTTTAGGAGAAGGAGTTTTCTGACCTGATGCTGCTCTGCTTCCCCAGGGAACACACAAACAAAGCCTCCCCCATCCCGCCCCCTTTGAAAGAATCTTCTTTCCCCATTGGTCCTTTTGGTCAGGTGCCAACCAGGTTATTTGAGCTTCTTAACCCCTTACAGGTAAGGAGGAATTCTAGGCTACCCTTAGCTGTATGGTTATGACAGTGCCCAATTACCAGGGCCCTGTGCTACAGCAAGAGGGGACAGGGCAACCACTGAACTGAGCAGCAGAGTTTCCAGTGGAGCACAGGAAAGCCATTGGTTGTGGGGCTGTGCTCATCTGCCTCCCCAACCGTGGCACAGAGAGCCATAGTTGAGCTGTGGCAAGACCCTGCCTAGGGCGCACAGGGCCCCTTGTTACCAGGAAGCTGGTGACAGATGGGAGGAAGGGGTGGCACATGGAAAGATTTACATCTGTCTGAGCTTGGCTAAGGGTTGCTGGGGCCACATGCACATGCTCCAGCAGCTGTAACGGCTACTTCACTGTAAGCACAGCACAGGCTTCTGCCACCTGATGGTGAACGGGCTTGAGCTCTTCCTGCTCTCCCCCTGCAGCTTTTGGGTGAGGTAGTACTGAGGAGGGATCTTTGTGTGTTCTCCACCTCCTCCTAGCAGGGGTCTCCTCTCTCTGTGCCTTCAGACTGCTCCTGGGGTGGGGACCCTGCCCCACTCTTCAATTCCCCCTTCCTGTCGGGCAGAGAGCCAGGCTCCCCTGTGTATTTGTTCAGCACTGCCTGGGCTGTGCGGGAGTTCCCCTGGCATGTCAGGGCTATGAATTCTCAGGACAGCAACTCAGCAGGTCTGGGGAGGGATGTGGAGGGGGGCAAGGTATGGGGGGGGTCTCTGCATATCCTGGGGCTGGGTAGAGAGGAGGGGGCAGGGGCTGCGAGTAGGAAGCACTGGGATGAAAGAGCAGAATGAGGCCGTGTCTCAGCTTTGTAGGGAGATCCAGTGGGCTGTGGAAGCCAACTCCCTACACTAGCTGAGTGCAGTCCCTGCAGAGGAGCACACAGGGTCAGTCTTGCCCTGGCAGGGGTAGGTGACTGGGGAGCTCATTGCTCCCCACCATGACATGTGTTGTGCAGGAGGTCAGACTAGATGATCATAATGGTCCCTTCTGACTTAATCTATGAATCTGACTCCACTCCCTGTCGACCCTTCATGGCTACTATGCAAACATTTTATGCTTCATAACAGCTCTTTTGCTGGGGTTTTGTTTATTCCTCAGCCCCAGCCTGTTACACCATGTGTTTCAGGCTTTGCACCGCCTCAAAACTAGTTAGCACCTGCCCTCTCTTCAGGCTTATGGTTACTTTAACTCCATGCCTCTGCCCTCCCTAGCTTTACCCTGCTGAAGGGATCACACTGCTCCCCACAGCTCGGTACTGTTTATTCCTGCCCTGCAGGGCCTAGCTTTGTGCAGAGGGGCCCTTATCCTCCCTAGATATAGTCCTGAGCAGGTGTTGCTCCATCCTTCAGCAGGCTGCACCTCTTTAGTCTTCAAGGATATTGGACCTTCATTTAAGGGGCCAGCCCCCTGAGATAGAGGGCCTGGAGCAGGGGACTTCCCTATCTCTGTCACGTGAATCAAGGGCAAGGGGGAAGAAGTACTGAGGCCAGGCATAGGTCTCATTCCACAGATCCTGAGCTGGTTATTCCAGCCCAATGTACCACCGTGAAACCTGCCACAGGAGAAACCTGCTCAGCCAGTGTGCCCTGGGAGAGCAGGAGCTGGCATCAGCCCAGCTGCACAGGCCACATAGCGCTTCTGGAGGATTGCCCCATGCCAAGGGCTATCTCCCCTCCACCCCACCTACACACCCACCCAGCAGGCAAGGCTTGCAGGCTGCTAGGGGATCATGAAACAGGGCGAAGTGCTGCCAGTGTGTGGTGTGCATTGTTGTGAATCCAACCAGGCAAGGGCTGCTTCCTGGACCATGGACCAGCAAGGGCCCAGCACATGGAGGGACCAGCTGGATGATGCCACAGGCAAACACTGCACCAGCAGGGGGAAGGGTTGGAGCTGACCAGAGTCTAGAACTAGGCTGAAAGGGACCTAGGAGCGGCAGGGAGATTATCCTTTTCCTGGGTCAGCACAGAAGGGAGACTAGCTTTTACCTGCCAGAAACAGTTCTTCTGGCTGCTGGCACAATTCATAGCTCCAGCTAAGCCATGACATGGCAGCATTGCTGGGGGTGGGAGGGGGTTTGAGACATGAGCCCAGGTAACTAGCACAGGGGAAAGCGAGCAACCAATGTGCTGGAATTAAAGCAACAAGGAAATCCAGCTCTGGGCAGGGCTGCAATACACACACACACACCCTTCCTCTCTCCTGGAACAAAGTTTGCAGACGAGCGCAGGGCATTTGAGGCAAAGGGCTAATTCATCAAGCCAACAGATCAGAGCACCCTGCTGGCACCAGCCAGTTTATGGAGTTGAATGGCTAAAAGGGGTATCTTTACCCTGGCAGCCTGCACTGCTAGGCTCTTTGTCCTGCCTCGCTCTGATGAGCCGGATCAGTAAGGGTGTCCTTGCTCCTAGACTGCTCGAGCTCGCTGGGGGAAATGTACCTGAAAGGCCAACCTCCCTCTTGCCTTTGCTGCACTCCAGCTGGTTACTCCCAGCACTAAGCAAATTGAGCAACAGCTGGTTTTTAGGAGGCTGTTTCCACCTCTCCTCCAAGTAGACACCCCCTTGACTCCAATTCCAAAAGGATACCATTTATTAAACAAAGGATAGTACCGCCACCGAGGCCTCAACATTTCAGAATAGCCTATTCAGGTTCCCAGCAAGACATCAGAAGTACCCCAGCTATTAATATGGCTAATGCTAGAGATAGGAAACAAAGCCCTGGAGAAGCCACACACTTCAGCCAAGCTTATGAGAGAGACACACACACACAGCAGGCTGGAAATACACGTCCCAGCTTGGAGCTTTAAGTTATGAACTCTATTAGCAAGGACCCAGCAGCCAGCTCCCCTCCCTGGAGTTAGGTAGATGTCCAGGCTATATCCCATGAGCTATCTTTGCAACGGTCACTCTAGTTCATTCCCGTAAGCCCCAGTACTCAATGGGATGATGCTGGATTGCACTCTGCCTCTCCTGGGTACAGGAATAGCTGCTCCAATTGCTCCCACTGTCTGCTTTGGCCTCCTTTTTTCCCCTTCTGCCCAGGGCCACCAGATTTTTTCAAGGTTGTCTACAGAGCTGGTTGGACATTTTCCACAAACCATGTCAATCAGCTCTTTCGGATGGAAAAAATTCAAAGCATTTTGGGGAATGCCTGGAGTTAGCTGGACATCTGGGAGAAATCATCCCTGTCAGACGTTTCACTATTCTAGGTAACAAGCCAAATTGAAGCATTGCCCCATTGAAACAAAAGGTGTTGAGACAGTCAAACTGAAATCCTCACTGTGCTGTGTGTCACACAGGGTCCCGCCACCAATTTAGCATCCCAGCTCAGGAAAAAACCAGAGATTTGGAAGTCTGAGAATTTCCCTGGGGACAGAAAACTCAAATTCCAACCAGCTGCAGCTGCATTCCACCTCTCCAGAAGGGTGTACTGAGCCTCTGTGTGAATGCTGTCAAACCCCCTGGGCTGGGAAGGCAGCTTCTCACATACAACAAATACATTTAATTACCTCTCTCTGGAAACACTTCTAATGAAGCCTCTAGTATCTTCCTACAATCTCAGTTTGAGCCACGTGGGCTCACTCCCAATTTATCGCAAGAGCACACGCCCCGAGAAGAACTCATAGCCATAGAGGACAGGAAGGGCCACCTGTCCCGCTCCCCTGCAATCAGTCATGGGGAAATATTCCCCATTGAGTCATCCATACTCCCTGTCTGCCTTCTCTTGGGCACTGAACCCTCCCCACAATGTCCCTACCTGTTACACCATATGGGGATGGGAGGGATTAATACCTGGCTCTAGACCTGGTGAACAATTTAGCCCTAATCCTGTACATGAATCCTTAAACCAGAGTGAAGTATCTGCTTCGTGGGGACCCCTCAGCACCCCTGACAGATTCAGTGCCCAGAATGGACAGTATCTTGTCTCAAAGCTTCTGAGCAGCTAGTGGCAGATGCCACCAAAGGATGCATAAGCTACGAGTCCATTGTCATAAGTGCTGGCTGGGTCAGGCAACAGAGCAGTGAGTGTCCATTGTGCAGCCCCCAAATCACACCATGCCAATGGTAGCACCTAGGCACTGGGAGGAGATACAGCTCGTGGTGCCTGCCCATGCTGAGCTGGGACCTGGGAGAGTCCAGCCATGAAGACTGTGAATGGGCCAGGCATTAGAGAGCCTCCAGGCCCAAGCACTTAGAAATTCTTGCTGGGGTAGCTCTCAGTGCTACTGAGGCCAGAGTCAGACACCCCAGGTGAGGTAGGAAAGGCAGCCTGGGTGTAGGACCATGCACGGCAGAGCTGTGCTACAGCCCCACAGACGGCAATACAGCCTAGATCCAAACGGAGAGCTGCAGGTGAGTGGATTCTGAGCCTGGGCTGTTCTACTAGTCAGAGAAGCTCAGTACAGAGTTTATCTGTAGATCCTGAGCAAAGGAGGGGCAGAGGAGTGAACAGCATGGTCCCAGACAGCTCCTCCCACCTTAGCATCCCCAGGGCAGTCAGGGGCACTGCAGCCAGACTCCCTGGCCCACCCGAACATCACAGCAATGCACGGACAACAGCTTCCTGCTCTGAAGCCCTCTCCTGGCAGGAGGAAATGTAACTGCTTCCTCCACTCAAAGAGCTGGGACAACAGCTCCCCAGGAAGGGAGAGGGAGTATGACCAGGGCTGGAAGCAAACCTCATGGAGAGCAAATGCTCTGAGCGCCAGCAGAGGCTCTCCCAGACTTGCAGGGTACAGCACCAGAGAGCAGAAGTGGGTGGCAGAGCTAGGCAGGCATTGGGAAAGGGAAGCTGGCTGGAGCTTGGCACGTTAATGCCCCGGGCACATGCACGCTGCTACAGCTGAGCGGCCAACACAGGCTCCTTACACACAACCCGCCTCCCTCCTGCAGAGCCGGTGCCAGGGCAAGCGCCACGAAGCAGGCTTTTATTTTAGTTCAGGCCACTTGATCTAGGCCGGAGTGTCAGCCAGGGCCCCTAAGGCACAGCAGCACAATGGCAAGAGGGGCCAGGGCTGCCTGGTGAATCCCAGGAAGCAGCAGCACGTGCAGGAACCCAGAGCAGAAGGCAGGGGAGTGACGAGAGCAGCCGGGTGGAGAGGGAGCACGGAGAGTGCCTCCTCCCCTCCGTTCCGCGCTGGCCAGGCTCCAGAGACGGCTTAGTGCCAACAGCAGGAGCACCGAGCTGCCCTTCTCGCCGGAGAGTCTGGGCAGCAGCTCCTCTTCCGGGCGGCTGCTTCACTTGTCCTAATGGAACAGGGGCTGCGGAGAAAGAGGCCGTGAGCAAGGCACCCCCCTCGCCCAGAACTGAGTCGCTCTCAGCACCACAGCCCACCCCCATCTTGCTGCACCACCAGGATGGCTCCAGAACCACACTGGCCTTCAGTGCCACCATCCTGCACTGGACATTCCTGTCTGATCTCTGCCCCTGGCTGAGCCGCCAGTTTCCTGGCTCTTGTCACATTAGCAGGCGTCTTCCCACGCAGATCACCGGCGAGTTGACTCGTTATTTCTTGCCCATGTTTCCAATCTCATCTCCCAGCCTTCCCCTACCACCCCTCCCCTGACTCCGAACCCCTCAGCCCCACCCCCGCCACACATCACCTCCATATTGGTGCACATAAAGTTAATTCCGGATGTAAAAAATTAGAGGAAATGTTGCACCCACTCTTTTCCTCCCACATCCGCCCTAAACCTGGCCTTACTGCAACACCCCACATGCCCAACTCCTCCCTGATCCCCAATCCCACGGCAACCCCTCCTGCCCATGCTGCTACTCATCCACACAGCCCATGGCCTGGGCCACCAGCAACGTGGACTCGGTACCTGTTGGGCCCCCAGCGACTCTGACTCTGGGCGCTTCCAGGCCGGCGTGGCGAGAGCCCACAGCACCAGCAACCCAAAGACCAAGATCAGCATCCCCAGAAAATTGGCAAACCAGGCCTCAGGGGGGAGTCTGGCGTAGGGAACCGTCTTGTTCGTCCTGAAAGGGAAGAGATGGAGCCACCGCCTTCATTTGGAGCCAGTACCAGTGCAAGCAGCCTTGCCCCTTACAATCCCAGCTCCCCCTGGAGAGCCTCTGGGTGGGGAAACCCTGCCAGCACCCGCCTCAGATGGGTGGGGAGGGATCTCTCCCACATCCTGGAGCAACCATTGGATCCTGTGAGATCCAGCCATGCCTCAACCCATCTCCAAAGCAGGAAGTTCTAGCCCCTTCCCTGGGCACCTTGCCCAGTCATCTTCACCACCCACTCCTGCCCGTAACAGCAGCTCCCAAGGTCTCAAACAGCTACCTAAAGCTGGGGATGCTTCCCAAGTCTCCCCGTAGTAGTCTTCTCTGCACCAAGCCTGCCCAACCCTTAGATCTTCCCTTCTGGGGCTGTCACCATTCAGCCGCTTGCTGGCATCTCTCAGTCACACAGCGGGTATGTGTGGTGGGAGAAAGTGACCCTACCCATGCTTGGGGTGACCCCAGACTAACGTAAGCCAAGAATGGAAGACGGGTGGGTTACTGCCCTGTTCTGTGCACTCCCCCAAAGCTCTGGTATGGGCCACTGTCAGAAACAAGACACTGGGCAAGAAGGACCCTGGTCTGGCCCAGCTCTTAGGAGTGATGGAGGAAGCTCTAGGCTGAATGGAGACCCACACACCTCACACCAGCTCTGGCACTCACAGACTGAAGAAGAGCTTCTCGTTGATGCCGGAGATGGATGCTGCCATGGCCAGCGTGAGGATGGTGGAGCCAAAGAAGACATGAATGGGCTTGTAGATGATCCGCAGCCAGGCAGGGGACCAGGGTAACAGGAAGGCAGCGAACCCCATGAGCCACTAGGATGGGGGAACAAGGAAGAGTTCGGGGCACAGCGGATCAAGCCACGGCACAGGTAGCCAACAGCAAGAGGGAGAGCGGGGGCAGAGCTGGGCATCAGAGGGGGAGGCTGGGCACCCACCTGGCAAGAGAAGAACAGCACAGCCGTCAGCCCCAGCCAGCTGTGCAGCGAGTACATGTTGGGGGTGCCCTTGGCATTGTGGAACCTGAAGACGGCGACGAGCCCCAGCACGACCAGGACAAAGGCTGTCAGGGTCAGCGCCGCGTGCAGCAGCTTCCACGGGAGCTTCCTGCCCTCCCAGGAGCTGGGCACCCGGTACACCAGCACTGCTGCAGGGGAGAGAGACTGGCACACTCAGAGCAACTCCTGTATCCACGTCCCAGCCCCCGACGCGCCACCCAGGGACAGCACCCACTTACCTGCCCCATACAGCACCAGCATGCCCGTCACCATGAAGACCGGGTGCCAGTTAAACAACTTGGCGGAGCCATCCCAGGCGAAACCTCCGCGCCAATGGTGGGACCAGAACCCTGTGAACACCACACACAGGAACCCCAGGGTGCCCAGCAGGGCCGCGAAGGGCAAGAACTGGAAGGTGGGCATCACTCCAGCAGCAGGGACTGCACCTGATGGGGAAAATACCACACCAGCTGATTGTACTGCCCAGCCTGTGCCCCGCTGCACGCCGAGCAAATCGCTGCCCCCCACACCAGACCCTGCACAGCCCACTAGGCTCTGCTGCCTCTCCCCCTCCCTCCCTTCCGCTGGGCTCCGTCCACCCCTCACCTGCCCACCTTCCTCTTCCTCCGCCAGGCTCCATCCGCCCGGCTCCATCCGCCCCTCCCTTTGCTGGGTTCCGTCCGCCCCTCGCCCTCTGCCGGGCTCTGGCCACCCCTCGCCCTCCCCTCCGTCCATCCCTCCCCCTCCACCGGGCTCCAGCTGCCTCTCCACTGGGCTCCACCACCCACTTTCCCTCCTTCGCTCTCCAGCAACCCCTTGCCCGCCCACCCACCCACCCACCCACCAGCCCTCCCCCTCCCTCCCTCCACCTGGCTCCGGCTGCTGCTCCTCATCTGCCCTCCCTCACCTCCACCAGCCTCTGCCAGCTGCTGTCAGCCAGTGCCCTCGTGTCTCAGAAGGCTGGTTATAGAACCAGGAGCGGGCGGAGCCCCAGAGTTAATCAAGCTGGATCAACAGCTGCTTTAAGTGCAGCCTTAAGTAACAAGCTACAGGTGGGTGGGGAGGAGCAGCCGACTGCCCTGAGCCCAAACAGAACGGATCCTGCTGGTTGGGAGCCAGCAGGGAAAGTCCCCAGAAACAGAGATGATCAAACCCCTGCAGCCAGAGCTCAGAGGGCAAGAGAGGCCTCTGCCCATCCTGCAGCCTTCACTCCCCTTCCCCTGGAGGACAGCAGGGATCCCAGGTTCTCAAGTAGAGAAGAGCTCTGTTCTCCCCCCTCCACCCCGAGGAGTCCCTGCCCTGCAGCACTCACAGACTGAGGACCTGTGCTGAGCCAGTCAAACCCAACAGCCAGGAGCTGGGCTTTGGGGATGCTGTGCCCATGCACCAGCCACCAGCCTGACATGGACCCAGCCCCCGCAGCACCGAAGGCGCTCCCACCAGTTGCCACGAGTATCCACAGACCGTGGGCTGGCCAGATCGCCGGGACCCAGCTGGCACCGGAAGCACGAGCAGTGCCCAGCAGCCTTCCCAGGTGGAAAACACAACCTGATCAGCCACAGAGAGGGAGCTACATCCAGCCCAGGGGTTTCAGATGCTCCAAAACACCACCCACTCCCCGAGCGCCCAGAGAGAAAAGAAGGGCCCTCGTCACAGTCACCGAGCCCCCGGCCTGCCACCCCAGCGGCTGCACCTGTGTTTGGCACTTCCTGTGGGGAGGCAGCAGGTCACGAGACCCTCCCAACTTCTGCTTTCAGATTAGCACTGCACAGCCGCTGGGAGGGGGGAGAGCACAGAGCTAAAGGCACCTGAGACCAACAGTGGAAAGCTCACTGTGGGGTGGGCCAGGGGAGGGACAGCATACATGGGAGTGGGGCTGATCCCCCTGCCTAGCTCAGCCAATGCTCAATCCTGCCCCTCAGCACCCCCTGCTGTTCCAGTCACAAGGCCCCTCCCAGCTCTGTACCCCATTCCTGACAGTACCCCACTATACTTTTCCTGCCCTGTCCCCCTGCACTGGAGATTGAGTCTTTAAAGCCAGAAGGGATTATTAGATCATTTAGTCCAGTGGTTCTCAAACTTTTGCACTGGTGACCCCTTTACATAGCAAGCATCCGAGTGTGACCCCCTTATAAATTAAAAACACTTTAAAATATATTAAACACCATTATAAATGCAGGAGGCAAAGTGGGGTTTGGGGTGGAGGCTGACAGCTCGCAACCCCCCATGTAATAACCTTGCGACTCCCTGAGGGGTCCCGACTCCCAGTTTGAGAACCCCTGATCTAGTCTGACTTCCTGTGGAACACTGGGTAGAGTTCTTGGTGTGCCCAGGACTGAGTCACCTCCAGCCGCCAGCCAGAAGGAGCCTCGCTTGTGCTTAACAGGGTGACAGCTCCCTGACACCGCCAGCCTGTTAGCCACCCAAACCATCTCCACTGGGCTAGGCCAGCCCTCACTTTGTCTTGCAGGTTAACAATCGGTTCACCCCAGTCCCCGGGGCCCTTCGAAGCTTCCCCTGAGATATCCAGCCTCTTCTGCACTGAACACCCACAGTAATACCAGCTCTGCTGTCCCCATGGGTTCAGAGCTCACACCAGCTCCAGATCAGCTCCTGGTCTAATACCACAGCACTGAGATATATTTATAGTGGAAATAAGGATGATAAACTACCAGAGGTTCAAGATTCAAGAGATTGTGAGTAAGGATGATGGAAACAAAAGGGTTACATATAAAATAAAATTATAACACGATTCCTAGAGACTAAACTGAGCAAGCTAACCTTCCATCTAAAGACGTTTTATCTCACTCAAACATCCTTTGCAGAGTTTCAGGCAAGGCTGTGATCCCATTTTCGTGAAAGTAACCACACTGCCCAATTACTTTCTAAGTGCAGGACAAAGGGGTGTCTTCCTTGCCTTCCCCCAGAGTTCACTGTTTGTACCCCAAGTCAGCTTGTACCCCAGGGGCTTATTGTCCTGTGGTTTGCTATCCTGTTGTTGTCGCATCCCCCTGTTGACTTTGTGACTGTGGGTTTCCACTGTCAGCTTACACTGCTTGATTTAGACCTGTCAGCAGACAGGTGACTCGACATCCTGCGTCCAACAGAAACCCCAGATCTGAAGAAGAGCTCGGTACAGCTCGAAAGCTTGTCTCTTTCACCAACAGAAATTAATCTTATAAACAGGGGTGAAAGTAAGCTGGTACAGGCCGGGATGGCATACTGGTAAAAAGTGACCGCTGGTACCGGCTCATACCAGCCGATGTCAAAGCGCTGCTGTGGCAACACTTTAAGCAGGGTCCTTTGCCGCAGCAGCACTTTAACATCATTACCCCTTTTGCCCCCCCAGGCCACCAACGTGGGGGGCAAAAGGAGCAGCTGCCCCGGGGCCAGCGACTTAAAAGGGCCCGGGGCTCTAGATACTTCTGCCACTGCCACAGCAGTCCTTTAAATTGCTGCTGGAGCCCCGGGCAGCGCAGGCCAGGCAGCGCAGATGGGTTGGCTGGGGGATGCTGACCCCCAGCCCCGCCCCTTCTGCCCGAGGCCCGGCCCCATACCGGTAAGTGTTGAGTGTTACTTTCACCCCTGCTAATAACAGATATTACCTTGCCCACCTTGTCTCTCATATCCTGGGACCAAATAGCTAGGACATTGCCAAACACCTGTTTGTCACTTCTGCCTTGACACTTCAGAAACATTTTCAATATACACGCTATGTAAAAAGCAGTCTGTGAAATGTACATACAATGCTATGAATGACCAGCATGATCCCAGCTTTCCTTTAAGACCTCACACAATATTCTTTGGTGAAACAGAATATACGCATCAGGATATTCTTGTAACCCCGTGCTAAGTGGTGCTGAAGGGTTCTTAGGGTCACACGTAGGCCATTATATCTCTCCCTCGTACCCCCATGTGGAACAGAGTAACTTGTAACGCTGCCCTACCCTACAGCACTCCCAATCTGGCCTTGTGCTGCGATGGGACTTGTCTCTCTGCGATGGGACAGACTCTTCACACAGGGTTACGCTAACCCTGTGACTAAGTGCACACTAGCAAGCTCGCAAGAACTGGTGGGTGGCACCTCATTTGCTTAGAGATCTGCATCCTCCACCAAAAATACACCCAGCCACCTCAAGGGAGGAAAAGAGCTGCTCGTGGGTGAGATTACCAGCAGTAAACACTACAGCCTCCCAATGATCTCTGGGAGTGGGTGGCTGCAAAATCTGAAAGGCCCTGGGCTTCACTTTGTGTAGCCCAGTCTAGTGTCATTCCTCTCACATGTCTGCAAATGCAGGGACCTTCAGTCCCATCCACTGTGGTTTATGCAGATGAGCACACATGGCCTAACCATGTGGTGATACAGGGTTTAATGTATGCAGCCACAGGAATCCTGCTGGCTGGATGATCAGCAGTTAAAATGGCTGGAGGTCAGGAAAGAGGTCTAGGAGTTGAAAGCTCTTTAGCACAAGTTTTATGCCCTCTTACTTGCATCCAGCGCCCAGCACAATAGGACACCGGATTCAGATTGGAGCTTCTGCAATAATGGTCTTCAGCATGTATGTGAAGAGCACCATTTCCTAGTCAGGATCTCAATGTGTTTGTGCATTGAGAGGTTAGATGAGATTGCTAAGCAAGCAGACAAAACAGCAAGTACCTCTCGGCAGGGACCAATTGGTTTTAATCATGCATAAATGTAGACTCATGATCATTTGCACCGACGCCTCTGCCCCTGACTCACTCTGTAGCCCCTCAGCCTCAGCTTCCGCACCAGAAAAACGGGGATCATGATGCTTGCCTGTTGCCCAGGGAGGGCTGGGATGCATAAAGCACTTTGAGAGAGCTGGAGGGAAGGTGCTGTACAAACATATTGCCTGTTACACCCATGCAGCAAGGCAGTGCTGGGAACAGCACCCAGGACCTGCTGGTTCCCAGCCCCCTGCTAAACCCACAAAGCCTGAGGGAGAATCGGCAGGACCCCTGCTGCCCCCCCATCCCCCAGATGGTGCAATTCCAACCCAAACCCTTTGGGAGAGGATGCTCCAGAGATGCTGGGAGGATTTCAAAGGACAGAAAGCCCAATCCCATGCCCAGTCTGACACAATAGCACCAACTCCAAGCATCCAAAAGTTACAGGTCCAGTCCTGAAAAATCATGAGACTGGCTTAAAAAAATCATAAGGCCTTTTTTTAAAAAATACATTTCGGGAGAACAAGCTAGTGGGAAAAATCTGAAGTGCAAAAGAAACAAAAAAGAATGAATGACTCAAAAGAGCTTAAGGGAGCAGGTCATGATAATGAGACCATCAAAAAATGCACACAAACTGGCCAAAGAAGGCTACAAAGGCAGTTGCTAAGGCAAGAATGGAGGCTGAAGAGGAATTAAACAGAAAACTGCAGGAAGATGATGGCAGGAAATCGGTTTTTGGGTTGGCAAAAAAAGAGGAACACTAACGCACAAGAAATTAAGAAATCTTCATATGTGAAGGATAGGTACTGTGTGGTGCCTAACCCCAAACAGGTGGTAGGAGCTATGGAAAAAATATTTCTAAGGCTGTTAAATGAGAAGAGAGTTGCAAGTGCAAGCACTGCTGATAATTTTGGGGAAGCCTCCAAAGGTATCGGTCGCTGTAGAAGAGGCAGAAGCAGCACTGAATAGGATGAAGAATGTTAAGGCATTTGGAGAGGATGAGATAACTGTTGGTATGATCAAGGTAGCTGGAGATACTGGAGTAAAGTGGCATCATAGATTACTCAGAGTTTGCTGGGATCAAGCTAGGATACCAGATGGCTGGAGAATAGCGTTGACTGTGCCTCTCTAGAAAGGTAAGCCTGATGCAAATGATTGATCTGAACAGCTATTACAGCATCACTTTGTTAAGTCAGCCTCAAAGTCCTGGAGAGAATTTTGAAGGCAAAGATGAGGTGCAAGATGGAGAAGAATATAGGAGAGGAGCAACATGGCTTTAGGAAGGGAAGGAGTCAATAGACACAATATTTGCAATGAGACAGAAGTTTAGAAGAATGATAAATGGAGGGCATAACTGCTATGTAGCATTTATTGATCTTGAGAAAGCGTTTGCAGTATTGAGATAGATGGGCAGGGGTGTTCAAGAAGTGATGATTGAGGAGCTGTATCAAGGGTCAACAGCGAAGGTGGAAACAATACATGCAATTTGAGAATTTTGAGGTGACAATCAGATTAAGACAAGGTGGTATGCTGAGTCCACCTCTCTTCATCCTAGTTATGGAGTTAATTAGTAGGAGATCCAAGTCCGTGGAGAGAGAGAGAAAGCTAACGTATGCTGGTGACCTGGCCCTTTTGGTTGATAGCAAAGAGGGATTAGTAAATATCATAGACTGGGCCTCTGTTTGAAGGTAAACATAAAGATAGTGCCACAAGTACTCCTTTTCTTTTTGCGAATACAGACTAACACGGCTGTTACTCTGAAACCTGTCATAAAGATAACTGAAGTTGTGCAAGAAGGCAAGGCTGAAGAAGAGCTGTTGACAGAAGTTTCAGGAGAGAAGCTGAATCAGAAGAATTTGTGTACTTGAGAAATACACTTAGTACCACTGGAGAGAGGTGGGGGGAGGGGGAGAAACCAATGTGCGTGGGCGGCAGTGAAAAAAGTGGCAGGAGTACTGTGGGACTGGCAATTAACAAACGAGCTGAAAGGAAAAGTGTATGCTGCCTGCATTTGTCCCTGCCTGCTCTACAGTTTGGAAACAATAGGTCTTACAGAGATGGAAGAGAAAAAAAACATACAGGTAGCAGAAAATACTATACTGAGGAGAATGGCAGGCAAGCAGAGAGTAGACAGAGCACAACGGGAAGAAGTTAGGGGGAAGTTGAACTTGGGACTCTCAATGATAGATAGGCAGGAGAGCACCAGAGCACTTTTGAGATGGGTTGGGCGTGTGATAAGAATGGGAGAAGGACCAGTGAAGAAAGCACAGGAGGAAGAGGACAGCAAGAACGGCCATGGAAGACCAACGATACAACAGAGTCAGTCAAGAGAAGTTTGAGAAAAGGGCTGGAACTCCAAGTCCTAGATCTACGAACCCAAGTCATGGACCCAAAGGAGTGGCAAAGAATCATGGGCACCTCTGGCTCTGTGTAAATGGAAACGGGGTCAAGAAATGAAGTGAATGAATGCGAGGCTCACTGTATTTGCCTCGTGCTGTATGAGTCTTTGGGTGCATGCAGCGTCACGATTTCAAGATTTTCTTTGCAACCATGATGGCTAGAAACTTACTTAACTCAAAAGGGCTGATTCTTGTGCAATCTTCAGCAGCTGAGGCCTTACAAGTGAACACTAAGAATCATGAGACTCACAATAAAGTGGTGAGCTGGCACCATTGAACAGGGCAGGATTCAGGGCAAGGCACTGGCGATTTGGGGGTGCCTATCCCCCAGCCTGTAACTTGCCCCTTGTGAGCAACCCCTTTAGCCTGCCAGGTCCCTAGGATCCGCACAGTCTCCTGGGGGCAGGCCTGAGGCCAACACACTGAAAACTGGGGCACCAGTGAGCCGGGGTTTCCTGCAGCCAGGCCAGCCCCTGTGCCTCCACTAGTGCTTGGTTTACAATGGCGCCAAGGAGCCTGGCCCATGCTCAGAAGGGGCCCCAGCCTGCTCTGTTGCTGGCTGCCCCCCACCCACCACTTGCTCCTCTCAGCCTGCAGGGTTGTGCAGGGTGTTCTGCACTTGTGGGGGGGTCTTGGGGAGGCTCTGGCCATAGGGAGTTGGGGGCGGGGTGTTGCAGAGGTGCTGAATTTCTGATTTCCCCCTGGGTGCTTGACCCCAGCTCTGTCCCAACCCCACCCCCACTCCACCCTTTCCCCCAAGGGCCTGTCCCCCACCTCTTCCTGCCCCCGCTCCACTCCCGCCCCACCTCTTCCTGCTCCATTCCACCCCCTCCCCAGAGTGCCCCCGCCTCTTCCTGCCCCTGCTCCCACCCAGTGCCTCCTGCCCGCTGCAGGATACCTGATCAGCGGTGGGCGGGAGGCTCGGTGGACCAGGGGGAGGATCTGATCAGCAGGGCTATCGATGGGTGCTGAGCACACACTATGGGGTGTTGGGTGGGGGGGGGCTCTTTGGCATGGCATGGGCCTGCCCCCGAGGGGATGAGGCATGCTGGCACCACAGGGTCACTGTGCGTCTGGCAACAGCCGGTTTGTAAATAGTGGCCTCGCACTGGGCTGGGTGGAGCGGGGCCGCCCCTGCCATGCCATGCGCCTGGCTTGCCCCTCGCCCTGGGGACTGGCCTCGCCGCGCCATGCTCCATTGCCCCTGTGGGGGCCCGCAAAATGCTAATCTGGCCCTGGCCTCCACCCCATGGGTCAAAGCCAGGCCCGGCTGGGGAACTGGGGCCCGTGCCAAGGGAGTGCTGCTGGGGCCAAGACACTGCGCAGGGGGAGGGGTCACGAAGTCATCTGCTGCCCCTCAGCAGCCCCCCACCCCCTTTGCCCCTTTTGGACTGGTCCGCTGACCCCTCCCCGGCGTCCACCCCACCCCCGTCCAGCTCGCACCTGTCGTCCGGCCTGGCGCGGTGCACGCTGGGAGCGGTAGTTCCAAGGGTCCACGGACCCCTTACGGCTCACTATGAGGAACAGCGGAGTCCGCTCGCCTTCCACCCTGCAGGCCCGCCCCGCGCGCAGGCACTTCCGGGTCGCGCCCTCCCCGCGGCACTGTGGGAAATGGAGTCTTCGCCGTCCAGCAGCCGCCGCGGCTCACAGAGACGGGCAGAAGGGAAGAACTCAGCGCCACTCTATGATCCTATTGGGATCCGGAGGTGCCCCGGCTTCTCTCTGAGCGCTTCCGGTTCCGCCGGCCGGACCGGTCGCCAATGGCTGTGCGGTCTCCATGGGGATGGAAGATGGCGGCCCGAGGTGCGTGCGAGGCCCGGCCCGGGCCGGCGGGGGGAAGGCAGCTGCGCCCAGGGGAACTGCAGGGGGCGCGCTTGGGCCGTTGCCCCCTGGTTGTGCAACCGGGGGTCCCTGGCTCGGGGGCCGGTGACCGGGGGGTTCCCTGGGCGGAACCCCGGGAGGGGGCCCTAGGAGTTCCCTGGGTCCCGAATCCCCGGAGGCGCTGAATTAAGAGGGATTCAATTGCGATGTCCCAGAATCGCCCCCCCCAACCCCCGTAAATGTTGGCAGGGGTTCGCCCTGATCTTCCTGCCCCCACCTATGTGTGATCCCTTAGTATTGTAGCCCCTCCCACTGGGGTGACCCCCCACGTTGTTGCAATCAGAGAAGGGGGTGCGGGGGCTGGCTCTGAAGTGCATTTCCTCTTTTCTTCTATGGACAGACCCATATCCCCTCCCCACGGGTGGGTAAAACCTCATCCCTGGTGTGGCAACCTGCCCCAGCTCCTATTCCTTGTCTCCTCCTCCCTGCTCTGGGGTGATCCCGAATCTCCAGGAAGGATCCCTCTGCTGCAGTCTCAGGCTGTGCGTGAGTTGCCCTAAACAAGATCACCCCATCGCTCTCTGCTCAACCCTGTGTCCCTTCACACCACTACCACTGTGGCTGTGCCCCCGCTGGGTCCCAACCCCAAATGTATTTATGATCCTCCTCCCTTATGGGCATCTGTAACCCACCAAGATTCTGTCTCCTCTCATTCTTCCTCCAGGGTCATGTCCTCCCCACCCCCCTCCAAATGCATTCTCTGCCATAACCCTCAAGTAACCTGATCAGACAGAACAAGAGCTCTTGAGCTCTCTGACTATGACCCACAGGGTAGAGAGCACCCTGGTTAGGGCATGGCTCTGCATGGAGCCCCTGAGATCCTCTCCCTGGTATGCCTGCAGCCTCTAGGTAGGAGAGCACCTGTCTTCTGGGTGAAGGGAGTCCAAGGTTACTGCTATGACTCTTAAGGGTGTCCTTTTCTAAACATCTTTGCTCTCTAGCCCAGAGCTTGGTGCTGGGTAGCTGAAACTGAAAAGGTGCCATGGATTTGGGCCCACTGTTTGGGGGCATGTGAAGCAGTTTGTGGGAAACCCCTGGCCAAGCTGGGCTCTTGGTTGAGCTGCAGCTTCACTCCTAGGCCAGGTAGGCATTTGCCACAGGCCCTGCTGGAGATAGACCCCTTCTGACTTTCTCTTCCAGACTCCAGAGCTCAGCTGTAGGGAGAGGATGTGGTGCAGGAGGGGAGCCTAAGCCCCTCTGGCCCTGAGGATGAGCTGGCTCTGTTCTCTGGAATGCACACGCTGAGGGCCCGCAGCCCTGGAAAAGGAAGATGCTCCGGACTAGTAACTACAGCCTGGTGATCTCCCTGCAGTTCCTGCTGCTCGTCTATGACCTCTTCGTCAACTCCTTCTCGGAGCTGCTCCGCACGGCCCCCGTCATCCAGCTTGTGCTCTTCATGTGAGGCGGCAGGGACTAGCGGTTGGAACTGGGAGAGCTGGGTTCACTTCTCAGTTGTGGGAGGGAGTGCGGGCTAGTGGTTAGAGCAGGGGACTGGGAGTCAGGAGCCCTGGGTTCTCTTCTGGCTCGCCGCCACTGTGGTCAAGTAAATGGGGAGAAGGGGGAAGAGAGGACAAACTGAGGCAATGGAGTGCAGGGGGAGGACTTGGAGAAGGTTTTGTCCTCCTTCCCCTGCAGTGCAGCAGTACCTGACTGCCTTCCTCTGAAGCATCAGTTACTAGCTGCCAGGGGGGAAGTGGGGCATAGCTGCAGGGAGAGTCTGGTCTGTGGACAGTGGCTCCGTTCCCAGAGACAGCCTGTGTTCTTGGCACTAAGCCAAGTGTCTGTTACATAAAGATCTGGGGAGGAACATCTGTGTCTGCCCAGATCAATTATCAAAGCAGCAAATTACTGCACTAGGAGGGGCTGCTTCGGCTGGAGGAACCACCCAGAGCTGGCTGCCTCTCCTCCCAGGGGCCTGGTGCACGGTGTTGTTCCAGCACAGGCTTTGTGTTTTGCTGTGTAGGCCAGGACAGCTGGGACACCCCCTGGGGCAGAGGGCAAGGCTTGTGTTGACCACTGTGTCCAGCACATGGCCCCAGGGAGGGCTGTGGTCTCTGGAAGTGCTGTGTGCTCATGGCATCTATCTCCCCGCAGCATCCAGGATATTGCCATCCTCTTCAACATCATCATCATCTTCCTCATGTTTTTCAACACCTTTGTCTTCCAAGCTGGCCTGGTCAACCTCCTCTTCCACAAGTTTAAAGGGACCATTGTCCTGTCGGCGGCTTACCTGGTTCTGAGCATCGCCTTCCATGTCTGGGTCATGGTAAGGCAGGGCTGGGCTCTGGAGTCTCAGGGGGCATAGGAACAGCTGTACACATCTGTCTAGATGGGTAACTCACCCTCTTCCGGAGCACCTGGGACCCTGGTGCATCTGGTATGATACCCATTCTTGTAGTCTCAGAACCACCACTGGCCTGATGTCCTGCCCCAGCTAGACTCCAGCCCATCTGCTCTGCTAGCCCCCCTTTGGCATGAAGGTTTAGAGAGGGCCAAAATCCCCTCGCACACCAAGCCAGTCCTGCCACACTCTGTAAGTGGTGTGTTGTCTTGGCCTCCTTCTGGAGAGCAGCTTATCCTGAGGGAAGAGCCTGGAGAGGTCAGAGCTTCACTCAGGGCCCCTCTCGCCTTGCAGCTCCAGAGAGGGAGGATTGCTGCTCTGTGGAATGTTTCTGTCTCCCAAAGAGGCAGCAGTGCATCGCTGGAGAGAGTGGGGAACTCTAAGGAGAGGAGTGAGGTAGCGGGAGCTGCCGCAAAGCACCCTTACACCCGGCCCCTCCCTGATTGTGGGATTCACCCATGTTTGAAGCAGGGGGATTGGGCCTGGAGTGGAGGGGGAGGAGGGACAGAAGCCCCACTTCCTCTCCTCTCCCTTGGAGGGAGCTCAGCTGGGCTCCGTGCAGACCTTGCCCCTTCCTCCCAGCTTGTGACAGAAAGCATTGTTCTTCCCCAACTCAGATCCTTTCTTTGGGGGCACGTGTGCCTCCCCAGCCTCCCCCTCTCTTCTTGGATATCGGCCATGGGGCCGGGCAGAAGCCCACCCCATCTGCCAGATTTGGGGAGATGCTTCTCCCACTAGGCAGCATAGTCAGCTACGGCTCTTCGGGGACCTGACTGACTTGGTCTGCGAGCAGCCCTCCCAACCACTTCAAGCAGAGTCCCCATTGCCAAGAGCAGGATCGGGGCCTCACACAGCAGCCTGTTTCATGGCCATCGGCAGGTGCTGGTGTCCTGGGCCTTATGCTCTCTTGATGCCATGGTGGGAAACGTGGCCGGGGGAGGCAACTCCATAGTGAGAGTTTATTTGGAGCGGGGATAGTTTGGGGTTCAAAAATACATTTGACTCCAACTCCTCCCTTGGCGGCTGGGGCCAGAGGATGGCGGAGGCATCAGTTCTGCCCTCAGGAGCTGTCTTGGGAGTGATCACAATACTCATAGTGGGGAAATCAGAGGTGTTCACTCCTTAAGGGGTGGTGGAGTGGCGACACAGATCCATCTAGTGGGGTAGCCCACCCTCTCCTGGCACAGCTCAGGCCATTGGTCAGTCTGTTGATATCCCATCACTTCCTCCCAAAAGGATTTTGCTCCATCTGAAACTGCTCAGCAGAAGCCAAGCCCCAGAGAACACTGTCTGGCAGGGGACTGCTGGAGCTAGGGTGGAAACTGACCTGTGTCCTCAACTGTGGTACCCATGAAAGGGCAGTACAGCAAGAGCCTTTCCCTTTGAAATCCCCCTCCTTCCCTTTTCAGCTCCCACCTGAGTAGCAGCTCCTGGTCTCACCGATTCTGATCAGGGTCTAACAGATGAACAAGTGCATCCTGGGTTGGATCCTGTGCGGGAGCCCTAGGGAGTTGCATTTTCAGGGATGCCTGGCCTGGTCGGTACTTGCCCTGGAAAGCTCCGAAGCCTGCTTTAGAGTCTTGCTGGAATGGCTTCCCCACCAACAAGGCTAATCCTTGGGTGAGCAGTGCCAATGTCCATGCAAGGCATTACATGGGATAAATCCCCACCAGGAGCCAGCGCTCAGGGGTGCAGCTGGTCGCAGGAGCCACAGGCTGCGAGTGTCCATCCCAGATTGGGTTGGAGCGAGCACAGCTGCTGGCAGCTCTGCTTGTACCCTGCCCTCCTCGGAGAAGGGTAGGGAGGGTTGCTCTCCCCGCATCCTCAGGACACCCACCATCCCCCCCTTACCACTCCCGTTAACTCTTTTCTGCCCTCTTTCTTAGGCACTGAACCCCCCCCCTCACCCCCACCACCCCCCACACCTTTGATCTCACCTGCTGTGACATTCCCAGTCTCTTAAAGGGCTAGCCCCACAAATCCCATTTCTCTGCTGGGGCTGCTGCTTGGCTCTGAGACGCTGGGGTGAGCGCTGGGGTGACCAGCTGGATGGGTCTAGTACCTGGCCCAAAGCCACTGGATAATAAACTAGCCACTTGTATTGTATTTGACCATTTGGGGCTGCAGAATGTCAGTATTAAGAACCACTGATGCGCGTAACCCGATGGAGCAGGGCATCATGGTGAGGCACTGCCAGCCAGATACCAGCTGCCTTTGCTGCCATGAATGCAGCACAGCAGCCACCGTGGTCCCCCTCTGCCCTGCCCCCCCACGAAACAGAGAGCCACAAGCATCATCTCCCCCCTGCCTCCCTGCACAGAGGGTGACACCCAGGCACAGAGAGGGGCTAAGGGTCAAATCCTCAAAGGTATTTAGGTGCCTAACTCCCATTGAAATCAGTGGGAGTTAGGCCCAGCTCCTCAGAAGTATATAGGTGCCTAGGTGACTTGCCCAAAGCCACCAAGTTAGTGAGCAGCTGAGCTGGGAACCCAACCCAGATGTCCTGACTCCCAGTCCTGTGCTCAGACCGCCAGACCCTATCCCTCTGAGGTGCCAATGCAAGTAACTGGGAGGGCGTCTGCCTGGCAGCTTCTCCTGGCTGGTGCTGCCCATGGGCCATAGCTGGGCAGTGGGATTTAAGAGGATTTTCTGGGATCTGTGTTGGGAAGCTCGACTAGGTCTTGGTGTTCTGTATAAATCCGCTGATCTGATTAACCTTTGTGTGCTCCCTGAGTTGCTCCCTGGCACTCACACCCCCGCTCATAGGGAAGAGGAGAGAGATCTCTAGACAGCTGGGCCCCAGAGACAGGCTCAGAGAGGGGGATGGTTCTTGTTGGGAAAGGGTTACTTTGGAAAGTGGATCAGTACAGTGATGATGCATTTCTCCCTCTGCTGAGGGACTCAGCCACTAGGGGGAGTCCTCTAACCCTGGGGAGATAGAGAGCTGCTTCTCACTGGGGGTCTGGAGTAAGTGACAGGGGGAGGTGACTGAATGGAGCAGCCCGGAGAAGAGAGGAGCAAGGAAGTGAGTTAAGGGACCCAGCGTCTGAGCTCTGTGGTGGGCCGGGCAGGTGCTTGCGGTGGCCATTTCCTGCCTCTGATGTCCCTTGTGCCTCTCTTTCCTTCAGAACCTGCGCTGGAAAAACGCCACCCACTTTGTGTGGACGGACGGGCTGCAGGCCCTCTTTGTGTTCCAGCGGCTGGGTAAGAGCCAAGCTCCATCATGGACCCCAACACACAAACACAGACAACAGCCCCAAAGCAGAGCTACCAGAGCTGGAAGTGGGCTGACCCCATCTGCCTTCCCTGCAGTCTCTCCAGGCTGGACTTGGGGTGGGTTTGTTAGGGTATCAAGTGGAGTGCCCCAAGGGTCAGTCCTGGGGCCGGTTTTGTTCAATATCTTCATAAATGATCTGGAGGATGGTGTGGATTGCACTCTCAGCAAATTTGCGGATGATACTAAACTGGGAGGAGTGGTAGATACGCTGGAGGGGAGGGATAGGATACAGAAGGACCTAGACAAATTGGAGGATTGGGCCAAAAGAAATCTGATGAGGTTCAATAAGGATAAGTGCAGGGTCCTGCACTTAGGACGGAAGAACCCAATGCACAGCTACAGACTAGGGACCAAATGGCTAGGCAGCAGTTCTGCGGAAAAGGACCTAGGGGTGACAGTGGACGAGAAGCTGGATATGAGTCAGCAGTGTGCCCTTGTTGCCAAGAAGGCCAATGGCATTTTGGGATGTATAAGTAGGGGCATAGCGAGCAGATCGAGGGACGTGATCGTTCCCCTCTATTCGACATTGGTGAGGCCTCATCTGGAGTACTGTGTCCAGTTTTGGGCCCCACACTTCAAGAAGGATGTGGATAAATTGGAAAGAGTCCAGCGAAGGGCAACAAAAATGATTAGGGGTCTGGAACACATGAGTTATGAGGAGAGGCTGAGGGAGCTGGGATTGTTTAGCCTGCAGAAGAGAAGAATGAGGGGGGATTTGATAGCTGCTTTCAACTACCTGAAAGGGGGTTCCAAAGAGGATGGCTCTAGACTGTTCTCAATGGTAGCTGATGACAGAACGAGGAGTAATGGTCTCAAGTTGCAGTGGGGGAGGTTTAGATTGGATATTAGGAAAAACTTTTTCACTAAGAGGGTGGTGAAACACTGGAATGCGTTACCTAGGGAGGTGGTAGAATCTCCTTCCTTAGAGGTTTTTAAGGTCAGGCTTGACAAAGCCCTGGCTGGGATGATTTAACTGGGAATTGGTCCTGCTTTGAGCAGGGGGTTGGACTAGATGACCTTCTGGGGTCCCTTCCAACCCTGATATTCTATGATTCTATGAATGGCAGCTCTACGTTCCCATGAGCCGTACCAACCCCTTCCCATGGGGGCTGGATCTCAGTGAGGCTCTATCTGTCCTGGAGGTCCCCAGGGCACACTGGGGTGATCCAGCAGATGGAGGATGGGGTGGGGGAGAGGACATTCCCCAGCCGGCTGTATTGTCTCACCTTCCTCTCGCTGTCCCCAGTGGCCGTGCTGTACTGCTACTTCTACAAGAGGACGGCCTTGCACCTGGGTGACCCCCGCTTCTACCAGGACTCCCTATGGCTGCGCAAGGAGTTTGCTCAGGTCCGCAGCTGATGGCTTCCTCCAGGACCCAGAGCTATGGCCGGTCCATGGCTGCTCCCAGCTGGCTGGCATGGTGCCCGCCGTTCCATCTGTGCTCTCTATCGGCTGTCTGAGAAGCCAGTGTCTCTCAAGCCTGGTCTTGCGCTCCATCCCACGAACTAAACAGGCTGGAGAGGTCCCATCAAGAGACGTGTCATCCTTGCACCTGCTGCTTTCCTGGTTGCCCGCTCAGGCTCTCCCTCATCTCCGATACCTCATTCCACTCCCCTCTTCCAGATCAGCGAGCTACTCCTGCCCCTTTCTCTCTGGACCCAGCTGCAGCCTCTCTGAGGAGAGATCCGAAGTGCCAACCAGGTTTGGCTGAGGACTCCTGTCCTGTAACTGCAGCGTGGCTCCTCTTCATCCAGAACAATCCTTCCTCCAGCCCTACGCACAGCTCACTCGCCGCCTGACCAATGGGATCCTGTCGGTATTGGCTCCATTTGGCCTCCGCTTTGCATATCTGGTGGGATGAGATGCCAGGACTCAGCCTGTCCTAGCCGCTCAACATTAGGCCTGTCCTGGTGGTAGACCCTCCTTTTGTACCTGTGTATTTTTGTAAATTATGAGACAATAAATTGGCTTCATTTTCCAGAAACCTCCTTGTGTGTGCATGTTTTGGGTGCACCCTCCTTACCCCAGGCCCTGGTCTATCCTATGTGTCCCCCGCCCCCAAACACTGTTCTGTTCTAGCCCACATTGCAGCTAATTCCCATACTGGAGGCAGGAGTCCAATGGCCAGGACACACGCATGTTATAATTCTTGACATCTGATTTGTGTCCATTTATTCTTTTACGTAGAGACTGTCCAGTTTGACCAATGTACATGGCAGAGGGGCATTGCTGGCACATGATGGCATATCACATTGGTGGATGTGCAGGTGAACGAGCCTCTGATAGTGTGGCTGATGTTATTAGGCCCTGTGATGGTGTCCCCTGAATAGATATGTGGGCACAGTTGGCAACGGGCTTTGTTGCAAGGATAGGTTCCTGGGTTAGAGGTTCTGTTGTGTGGTATGTGGTTGCTGGTGAGTATTTGCTTCAGGTTGGGGGGCTGTCTGTAGGCAAGGACTGGCCTGTCTCCCAAGATTTGTGAGAGTGTTGGGTCATCCTTCAGGATAGGTTGTAGATCCTTAATAATGCGTTGGAGGGGTTTTAGTTGGGGGCTGAAGGTGACGGCTAGTGGCGTTCTGTTATTTTCTTTGTTCTATTACCAGCAGGAGAGTGGGGTGGGGGGAGAGAAAACCTTTTATAGTGGTAAACACCCATTTTTTCATGCTTTGTGTGTATAAAAAGATCTTCTACACTTTCCACAGTATGCATCCGATGAAGTGAGCTGTAGCTCACGAAAGCTTATGCTCAAATAAATTGGTTAGTCTCTAAGGTGCCACAAGTACTCCTTTTCTTTCTGTGGTGTTTAGTCGTTCCCCAGTCATGGATCACGGCCCTGCTGAGCTAGGCACTTCAGAAACACAGAACAGAGATGGCTGCCACCCTAAAGAGCTGACAATCTAAGCAGTAGGCAGGAGACAATAAGACAATACCGGTTAGGGTGACCAGATGGCAAATGTGAAAAATCAGGATGGGGTGGGGGTAATTGTTGCCTATATAAGAAAAAGCCCCAAATATCAGGACTGTCCCTATAAAATGGGGACATCTGGTCACCTTGACTGGCGCTGGAAGCAGTAGGGTCTGCATTCCTACCGCAGAGTAGGAATTACTGCATGGACTGAATAGGCAACTGCTGAATTCCTCCATCAGCCTGTGTTGGAGGGCTGGGCAGGGTGCAGAGTCTTGGTAAAGACCAGGGTAGAAGTTTGTATGGGGAATAGTGCCATAACATAGGGCAGGCAGAGTTACATATAGACCCATATAACACAGCCCTTGTTTCCCATGCCACCCCAATCTTGGAGGGGCGAGAACATGAAGCACTTGCTAGCCTAATGTTCTCAGCTGAATGGAGAAACCCTTCAGCTTGCCAGTAAGCTGTGTTTTCAGAATTGGTTTATTTCCAAGCTGCCTGCTCCAGAGGAGGGGACCTGGATGGTGTCTGGTGGTGATCAGAGCTGAGGGAGTACAGCTCGGGAGTTACTCAGAAATAAATTCCATGATTCAGAACCACAGTATTTCCTTTTTCCAGACAGGCTGCAGGCCTGCACTGCTGAGCCGACGAGGTCGGACAGTGAACCAGCTATTCTGCTTAGGGGAAGGGAATGCGGGGGTCACTGGTGAGCAATGGGGATTACACCAATGCAGGGGGAGGGATATCTCCAAATCACCTGTATGGTCTGTGGGTCAGGGTGCTGAAGGCAGGTGCAGGGCATCATTGGGAAGCGGTGCCAGGGGTCGTTTGGGGACTATGAGGCCCCCAATATTAACCATCAGCCCCTGGACAGGAGGAGGAGCCAATGGCAGCGTTGCCAAGTCTCGCCATAAACCCCCAGCTCCTGGAGGCAAGAGGCCGGGGGAGCATCGCAATGTCGCCAGCTGCGGGTGGGCAAAGGGAACGAGCCGCGCAGACAGGAGACGGGCGTCGAACCCAGGTGTTAAGCCAATAATCAATGGGGGGGCGTCTGAGCCTGCAGGCCCCCCGGGGGCCGCCCACGGCTCGGGGGGCCCTGGGCTGGCTGGAGAGCAAGGCGAGCAGAGATGTTGGGACTCCGGGAGCTGGAGCTTTACGCAGAGCCCCAGCCCAGGGTACCTGCCTCCGCCACCCAACGTAGCCCTCGCTGCTCAGGCCCGGCGGGTCCTCCCGCACCATCGAGCCGCGGGGCTGAGCCGGATGGAGCGGCGCGAGCCGCTCTGGCCCCGCACTTCCGCTTCCCCCTCCCGCGTTCCCGGAAGCGATGGCGCTGGATGGCAGTTTCCATGGAGATGGAAGATGGCGCCCAGAAGTAAGTGCGGGACTGGGGGAGGGGATCCCGGATTTCCCTCCTCCCCCCTCCAGCCCAGTGCGTGGGACACCCTCCCCAGGAGCCTTCACCGAGCACGGGGCGGCAACATCCCTGGGGGGCAATTCCGGGGGGGGGCTGTGCCACGTGACTCCTAATCCTTGCGGGAAAGACACGTCCCCCTGCCCCACCTTCTACATGGGGTGCCACGTGACCCCCCACTTCCCTGACCACCCTGGGGCTGCCACGTGACCCCGTTCTCGCGGGAAGGGTCCTTGACTTTCCCCTCCACGGGGGGGAGGGGCACGTCCCTTCCCCCACTCCATCCCAGGGGGGCCACCTGCCTCCCCTTCCCCCACCCCATGGACGGAACTGTGCCCCCCCCCCCCAGCCCTGTTTCCCCCTGATTGCCTCCAAGCCTATCTCCCCAGGTGGTGATGGAGAGGGTGTCCCTGCCCAATCGCCCCCTCCTGGACCTTCAGGAGCTGGCTTAAAAACAAAATGAGCAGATTTTATCTCTCAGGAAAGCACCGGGCACCTCCCCACCCAGATCCACTGCCCCCAGCTGGCTCAAAGGGTGCTGAAAAGCAGCTTGCCCTCAGAGCCCAGGCCTGGAAGCCTCAATGCAAAGTACAGAGCTACAGCCAGCAGGGGCTGGGATGAAAACAGTCAGGAGTCAGGCAGCGTTAGCTTTGGCACTAAGATCCATTCTCATCACAAACCTGATTACAATCGATCGGTACCTTGAAAACACCGCTTACTACAGGGTTCTGTCATCTTATAGACTTTAAGGTCCGAAGGGACCATCATGATCATCTAGTCCAGGATGGGCCAAGTTTCACACCCCGCTCCCTGGCGGAAGCTCGAGGGCCAGATTAAAACATTTGAAGGGCCTCATATGGCCTCTGGCCCGTAGTTTCCCCACCCCTGATCTAGTCTGACCCCCTGCACATTGCAGGCCACAGAACCTCACCCACCCACCCACCCACTCCTGAAATAGACCCCTAACCTCTGGCTGAGTTACTGAAGTCCTCAAATTGTGGTTTAAATACTTAAAGTCACAGAGAATCCACCCTTTACAGACCTATTCCTGGGAACTTTATTTCACCCCAGTCAGAACAGAAGACAACAGCCATGGGTCTCTGGCTTGTTACTTCCAAAACATCATGTTCTGCTGCTGAAAGACCAGCCCACACAGCTGACAGCTTGTCTGCCACATCACTGCTGTTGGAGTCAGTGTTTCACTTTGGCCTGAAGCACCAAGCAACTAGGAACAGCCGGCTTGGAGAGTCTGCAAAACCAGCTCCTGCTGCTGAATTTCACTCCTTGCTGCCTGACACCCAGCTGTAAAGTGGGGCAGGTGGCACCCTACTGTGCAGCTGGGCATGTGCAGGAGCTCTTTGATCTTAGCTGGACCTGCTGCCCTGCCAGGTTTTCTTTTTAAATACCACTGTCCTGTTCTCAGAAATCCTCTTCCTGCCAAGAGTGGCTCCAAGCAGAGGGAGAAAAACCAAAATATAGTGGGGAAAGCTCCTGCCTGCAGACAGAAAGTGGAGAGGCTTAGAGACCCACACTGCCTGCTTCTAGCAGAGAAGAGCTGACCACGAACCAACGGCTGGAAGCTGAAGCTGGACAAATTAAAATTAGACAGTAGGCCCATGTTCCCAACAGTGAGGGGACAGACCACGGGCAAAAATGACCCAGGGAAAAGGGGGATTCACATCACCTCTCTGGAAGATGCTTTAGTCAAACACGTTACTGGACTCATGCCAGAAGTGAGGTCAGCTCCAAGTGGCAGCTCACCCAGCCTCTGGGGTAACTTGGCAACCTGTGCTATACAGGAGGTCAGACTCAGTGATCCTTTCTGGCCTTAGACGCTATGAAATCACAATAGCACCCAACAGCCCCAGCTGAGACCAGGGCTCCATTGTGCTGCACTAATGCATTGCGAGAACCAGCCCCTGTCCCCGTGAAACAAACTAGACAAAAGCTGGGAGAAAGGAAGGATTCTTATCCTCATTTTACAGATGGGAAACTGAGGCCCAGAGAGACTCGGGGTCAGATTTTGAGGTGCCTAAAGAGGCAGGTGGGCACCTGTCTACATCTTTAGGTGCCTACATCTCTTTGTAAGTCTGTGCTTAGTGGCTTGACCAGGGTCATGCAAGGAGCCTGTTGCAGAGCTGGGAAGGGATCCAGGCCAGTACCTTGACCACCTATCCTCTGAGTCAGTCCCTTGTGTTCATCCTATCTCAGAGAGACAGACAATCCCTCATCCTACGAGGACGGGGCTCCCATGGGGAGTTAGGGGTTAATGCAGCTCAGGCCCTTCTGGCTTCCTCTGCCCCCTTTGTGGGGAAGAATGAGGGCGGCAGGCCTGCATGGGGAGCAGCACCTCGCCCATTCATGCTGTTCATCTGCCCATCCCCTAGGCCGCCAGCTCTCCTCTACACCCCTGGAAATCCTGCTCTTCCTCAATGGATGGTATTATGCCACTTACTTCCTCCTGGAGATCTTCATATTCATCTATAAAGGTGAGTTCCCTCCGCTGCCATTCCAGCCTCCATTTCAGATCACTAGGGCTGCCCGCTGTGCTGTGCCATCAAGTGGCACTTGACTGAGGGCAAGGCAGGCAGGACAAGTCCAGTGGAGTGCCAGCTGACTTATTCTACCCAAGACCCTCATGCCTCTCAGCCCATGCATGCGTTTCAGCCACTCCCAGCCCGTTGCAGGGCTGCGTCTGGTGGGAGGAGGAGTAAGAGGAAGCCATTAGCATTTGGCTCTGATGCTGAGCAAAGGCCAGGACCTGTTAGATGAGCCTCTCTCTGCACTGCATTTCTGTGGTCCTGCTGGCACCTCTCTGGGGCTCTCCACCAGACTTGCCGTCCCTGGAGGAAGGCCTTCAGGCTGAGAACCACTAGCTGTTCACGGCCATCTCCTCTTCCTTAGGAGCCTGTCCTGGGTGAGGGACAGTGACATGCCAGAAAGAGGGTTTGGGGGCCTTGCACTCCTCCTGAAACAGGTGACTTGTTTTCACAGGGCTGCTATTACCATACCCCTCTGCCAACCTGGCCCTGGATCTTGTCATGCTCTTCCTCTACCTCGGCATTGAAGTCACTCGGATATTTTTTGGTGAGTGCCTAAGATGAACAACAGGGCAAGCAGCCCCTTGCAGGCAAACACCTCTGAGAGGGCTGGACTGGTGCCTGATTTCACTGGGCTGCCAAGCAGCCAGCACCTGACTGACTTTTGCTCACTCAGCTTGGAGATGGATCAGTGCCTTGAGCTGAAGAGCTCTTTGCCTGAGCCATCCAGGTCCCTGGACCGGGGCCAGATTGGAGCCAGAGCCCTAGAGAGGAAAGGCTCCATGTCCCTGTCACGGAGTCCCTGAGCGATGCTCTGGAACTGCTCCCCATGAAGCCAGTCAGGACTCTGGGGCAGTCGCCTTTCTGTGAGCAGCCTGTCTTCAGGACACACAGCTCACCCAGCTTCCACCTTCCTGGGTCTGACCTCGGAGCATTCAGCATCCTCTGCCCCTCCGTGCGCTTCCCCCCAGCGAGTCCGCTCAGGCGGGGCTCCTGGGGAAGCCAGAGGGTCCTGCACCCCAACTTCGCAGTCAGACGTGACTCTCAGCCAGCCAGTAAAACAGAAGGTTTATTAGACGACAGGAACATGGTCTAAAACAGAGCTTGCAGGTGCAGAGAACGGGACCCCTCAGCTGGGTCCATTTTGGGGGGCAGTGAGCCAGACAACCACGTCTGCACTTCACTCCATGTCCCAGCCAGCCCCAAACTGAAAACTCCCTCCAGCCCCCCCTCCTCTGGGCTTTGTTCCTTTCCCCGGGCCAGGTGGTCACCTGATTCCTTTGTTCTCCAACCCTTCAGCTCTCACCTTGCAGGGGGGAAGGGCCCAGGCCATCAGTTGCCAGGAAACAGGGTGTTGGCCATTCTCTGTGTCCAGACTCCTGCACACACATGCCCTCTAGGGCTCTGCAATGATCATACACCCTTACTCCACCCCCTAGATACTTAAGAACTGCCTAGGGGAAACTGAGGCACCCCCACACTATTCAGAGGAAACATTAAGAACAGTCCCAATTCGTCACAGTCCCATTCCCTGCCCTTGAGCTGGATTGGAGCCTGTGTCCTAGAGGGGATAGGCTCCATATCCCAATCCCCCAGCAATCTGTCCCCACAGTCGTGCCCCTCCAGGAAGCTGCGTGCGTGACTGGCTGCAGGGTAGGGATCAGTTGCCTTACTAACTGTGCCACGTGGCAGGCTCCAAGGGGAACCTGTGCCAGCGGAAGGTGCCGCTCTCCATCAGCCTGGCCTTGACATTCCCAGCGGCAGTGATGGCGGCCTATTACCTGCTGCTGCAGACCTACGCCCTGCGGCTGGAGGCCATTCTCAATGCCATCCTGCTGCTCTTCTACGCCGTCGAGCTGCTCCTGGGCATCCTCACCCTGGCCTCCTTCTCCAGGTACCCAACCCCCGCCCCTTCCTGCCCTGAGAAGCAGCAGCACTGGGAGGCAGTGGGAGACTGAGCAGGTGTGGGCAGGGTCTGGAGGGGTAACACGGGGCAGGGGAGGAGCTGGGATGGGGAGGGAGACAGGATCCAAGGGGTGAAAAAGCACTGGGACAGGGGGAGACTGGACCATTTCTGGGCTAGTGGAAATGAGGGAATAACTAGGTAATGGGCAAAGAGGGAGGCTGTGGTGGAGACAGGGTGAGGGAGGGAAAGTGGGGAGAGAAAACGCTGATGATACAAACAGGAAAGGCTGGGCAAGCGGCTCATGCACATGCCTGGGGATCAGGACTCCTGGGTGCCATTCCTGACTGCCCTGCCTCGGTTTCCTCATCTGCACTCCTCTCCTCTGATTGGCTGCCTCACCCCACTACGAGGACAGATTCACGGGAGGGTGGGGAAGCAGTTGGGGTGACAGGGTTGCCCAGGGATGTGAGGGAAGCTCCCCCCAGCCAGAGCCCTGTGCAGGGTGGGGTTGGAGAAGCTGCTATTGACGGCCAGGCTCTCTCCTGTTTATCTCCCTCTAGGGTGGATTCGTACTAAGGCTCCATCCAGGTTGTTCTGGGCCAGACAAGGCTATGCATTGCCCCAGTGCCTGGGACCGAGGCCACGCATTCCCTCCCTCCACAGCTGGTCTGATGGCAGCGTCCCAGCCCCTTGGAGCAGAGCTAGACCCAGCCACAGCCTCATTCCATATCAGCCCCTCCTGGGCAGGAAGCCACCGCTGGTGTGCCCAGTGACTTGGAGAGAGACTGTAACTCGCATCCTAGACCTGGCGCCTCATGAAGCAGCCATTCCATGTGCCCAGGCATCACTCACCCGCTGCAGGCACCGCCCTCCCCCACCTGCCAGGCATTGGGGGGGGAAAGGGGAGGAAGAGGCTGCTGGGAGCTGTCATGGATCCCATTCTGGCCCCTACAGCCAGGGCTTAGAGTTTGTTCGAGCCCACGCACACAAGGCCAGGTGGCCCCTGGCCCAGACCACACCCCGAGGGATCATGCCTGCACCTGCTGTGTCCTCCCATTTCAGCATGGGGGCGGAGGGGCAGACGCCCAGGGCCCCCCGTAAGTATTAATAAGCTCCTGTCTATCGCATGTGTGCAGTGACTGATGGGGAGGTGTTTGCGCCCACTCCCCCAGATTCAGTGTTGTTTGCTGTAGCAGTGACTCGTGGCACTTTTTCCCCTCCTCTCGCACCCTCCGAATCAATACTATTTTCCAATAAATATTTATTTTTCTGCTACTGCTGCTGCCTGGAGCCTTTTCATTAGAGTAGGGCTTCCCCCAGAGGGCAGCAAGAAGGCACCTCCCTCCCTGCTCCACTAGAGGGCAGCAACAGCCACCTGCTCCCACTTCAGAGCACATGAATGCTCTCTGCTCCACATAGCACTGCTCTGGCTTGGAGAAGACCCATTAACTCGCCTCCCTCCCCATGGGCCACATCTCCTCCCAACAGCCGGCTCCAGGTGGCAGGCCAGGCCCATGCCAGCCTGCACTGTTTGCCCCAGCCCGGACCCACTCTCCAGTTAGCAGGAGGGATACTGATAGTGAGGAGAGATGGGCAATGACTGGGTGGCAGCAAGAGGGGAGGGGTCCCAGCAATAGGCTGGCAACGGCTGAGACAGTGGAAGAGAAGTTTATTTCAGGGGCTAGCAACCCTCAGTAGCGGAAGGGTGTGGCAGAGGCTGCGTCTGAGGCCCCTGCCCACAGGCGGCCCCCCGCCTCCACCACCAGGTACTTCTTGTTGGGAGCCTTGAGCACGAGGCAGCTGGAGGAGACGAACTGGAGGGAGAAGTTGCTGGGGTGGTCTTCACTCGCCATGACCAGCCCGTCCTTGTCCAGGCTCCAGTACTTGTTGGCTGCAGGCCAAAGGGGGCAGTTAGGGCCAGGTGACATGAGGATCATGGCGGAGGGGGCAGCCACCGTGAAAGGCACACTTGGGTTCATGTTAACCTAGGGAGGCTTCCGCAGGATGTTACGTGTGGAATCACTCCAGGAGATGCACACCAGAACCTTGCTGCAGAGCGGACACTAGCTGGGGCCAGCGTGGACTTTGCTCCTCGAAGGATTATGGGAGAGGCAGGCGGCGCTTCCCCCTTTCCTTTGGAGTGCTGGCTACTGCACCAGATGGGAAGGGGAGGAGCTGGGGGCCTTCAGCAGTTCATTGACTGTGTCCCCAGTGACAGAGGAGGGCATTTCCAGCCTGGGCAGGGGTACCCTGGGCAACCCCACTTCCTAAGACGTGGCCAGGGGCCCCTTCTCCCACCTCCAGTGGGGATCCCCTAGCACCCCCATCCCCAGGGATACCCCAGTGCCTGCACATCCTCATCACCCTGCACCCCCACAGTCCAGCCCCTGGCATGGATACCCTGGTACCCCTCCATGCCTAGTACTCCCCAGCCCATTGTATCCCCAGCCTCCTGGCGTCTCCATGCCCAAGCCCCTGGCAGGAACCCCATGCCGCACCGACTCTGAAGTGGCAGAAGCCGTCCTCGCTGAGCGTCAGGGTGCTGGCGTCGTAGGCTGGCCGGTTCCCGTCCAGGCGCTGCGTCCCGGGGAACAGCCCCACGAAGCCAGCCTCGCTCTGCAGGATCAGCAGGGGCCGGTTCACCAGAAGCAGCAGGAACTCCTCCTTCTTGCCTGAGGGCACAGATCCCAGCAGGCAGCGTTAGCTCCAGCTGGCCCCACATGGGGCTCGGGATGGAGGCTACCGGCCCTGCAGAGGTGCTGTGCGGAGGCAGAAAGGGCCAAAGCTCAGTCAAGTCAGGTCAGGAGGGGCTGCTGCTGAGAACCATCCCTTTGGTATATGGGGGGGGATAGGGGGAATGGGGGTAGGTGACGCTTCAGAGTAGGGCCCTGGACCCTCCTTCTGTCCCACCCCTCCAGGGCAGGGATCGAGTGGAGAAACCAAAGCTTCTGTGCACCCAAAATCACCATTGCTGCTGGAGAGCAAGCCCTGGAAATGGACACTCTCCTTGCAGGGCAGGCTTGGACCCTGCTCCAGGACCCTGCTCCAAGGCCAGGGCGAACCCTGGCTGCAGCCAAGGGGGGCAGTTAGCCCAGTTTCCACCTCCCCAGATCACTGGCACTGAGATACCCTGGCGTCATGTCACGTGAGTCCCAGAACAGCCACTGCATGGGAGGGATTTATCAGCACCGCCGCGGGGCTGGATGGGAAGCGTGAGGCAGTGAGGAGAAAGGGCCTCTATCGCATTGCCAACCCCCCTCCCTGATTAGGGGTATCGGCTGCACCCTGCCCCTACCTGCTGCCTCGGGCACCAGCAGCAGCTGCCCGTTGGGCCTGGTGGCCACTTGTCTGCCGTCAGCCATTCGCAGCGTCACCCTCTGCTCCCGGTACTGGAGTGAGAACCAGACCCCCTTGTCGTGGGTGCTGGTGCTCACCACAGAGTCATTGGGGCCCTGCAAGGAGGCAGCATTATGGGGCAGGGCGGGTGCTCAGCTCTCACGCTCCCCCTTTGGGGGGATCAGGAGCTGCTCCAGCTCCCAGCGGGAGTCTGGCCACAGGCCCAGTCCTTGGAGTAGGGTGACCAGATGTCCTGATTTTTGGGTCTTTTTCTTATATAGGCTCCTATTACCCCCCACCCCGTCCTGATTTTTCATATTTGCTGTCTGTCACCCTACCCTGGAGCCATGTTCCCCTGTCACCACCTGACGCCCCGCTAGGAGAGGGGCAAACATAGCTCTGGGGCAGGGCTAAGGAGGGCACCAGCTGGGCACAGGGCTGGGCAGAGGAGGGACAGAGGGACCAAGATTCAAAGCCCTCCTGCCCAGACCCCTAAGGAAGGGGGTTTAACCCCTAACCTGCTGGCACCCTCTCAATTGGCCACTCCTGGAATGGGGCACACTCTAGCAGCTGGGATTGGATAGCAGGGCAGGGGAGAGCCAGGGCCAGCCTGCCCTGTGTTGGCAGTTGCCTACATCCCTCAGTCCCAGGGATGTGTTCACCCCTGCTGGTGGATCGCAGAGCTGCACCGTGGCAGGCAACGCGCTGCAGGACAAAGTCGGTGGTTCTGTCGATCTCCCCCCATTGGGGGATCTGTGCCAATCCCCTGGCTCCGGCCACACTCACCACGGCAAGGTAGGTACCAGAGGAGCTGCGAAAGCAGGCCTGCTTGGTGACATCATTCAGCAGCAGCTGGAAAATCTCTGTGTTGCCAACGGACATGGCGTTGGCATAGATGTCAGCCCCTGTGGGCAGCAAGAGATGCATGGTAACAGGACGGGCAGCATGGTGCCAGCCCGGAGAGTCAATAACGCCCTCCCCCATGGCCCAGAAGGGCTAGTATGTGTATCGCTGCTGCCCTCTGCTGGCTGCAGCCGGACCTACTCCAGTCACGGCAACTTCCATCCACCACAGCACATGGGGATATGTTGGCTCTGTGAAGAGATCCCAAGGGCTAACTGGCACGCTGTGGCTGCCCACATAATGCAGAGCCCCCTTTAAAATATGAATGGAGGGTAATTAACAAAGGGACACCTGCCTGAGGCTACAGGCAGACAGCCTGAAACAACAGCTAGGAAAGGAGGTGCCAGCATATTCGACAGCTAGACGGACTGTTAACCACAAAACTTACTGACTATCTGTTAATGCCAAACCCCATGGGCCCGTGTTCAACATGTGGGGGCAGCCCGGTGTACAATGCTTTACACAAAAGAAACAACACAATGCAGATTTCTGTATTCACTGGGTACAATATTGCAAATTACTTGCATCTTTGTCAGAGACCACCGGATTTAGCTGCAGAATTCAGATCACTCCGTAGTGTAAAACAGATAACAATAGGGGCCTGAACCAATTTCATAAATATGAAGGGAAGGGTAAACACCTTTAAATCCCTCCTGGCCAGAGGAAAAACCCTTTCACCTGTAAAGGGTTAAGAAGCTAAGATAACCTCTCTGGCACCTGACCAAAATGAACAATGAGGAGACAAGATACTTTCAAAGCTGGGGGGGGTGGGGGGTGGAGAAAGGGTTCTCTCTGTCTGTGTTGTCTTTTGCTGGGACCAGAGCAGGAATGCAGGTCAGAACTCCTGTAAAGGGACAATAAGCAATCTAGTTAGATATGCGTTAGATTCTGTTTTGTTTAAATGGCTGATAAAATAAGCTGTGCTGAATGGAATGTATATTCCTGTTTTTGTGTCTTTTTGTAACTTAAGGTTTAGCCTAGAGGAATTCTCTATGTTTTGAATCTGATTATCCTGTAAGGTATTTACCATCCTGATTTTACAGAGGTGATTCTTTTACTTTTTCTTTAATTAAAATTCTTCTTTTAAGAACCTGATTGCTTTTTCATTGTTCTTAAGATCCAAAGGTTTGGGTCTGTGTTCACCTATGCAAATTGGTGAGGATTTTTATCAAGCTTTCCCCAGGAAAGGGGGTGTAGGGCTTGGGGGGATTTTGGGGGAAAGACGTTTCCAAGTGGGCACTTTCCCTGTTATTTTTGTTAGACGCTTGGTGGTGGCAGCAATAAGGTCCAGGGATAAAAGGCAAAATAGTTTGTACCTTGGGGAAGTTTTAATCTAAGCTGGTAAAAATAAGCTTAGGGGTTTTTTCATGCAGGTCCCCACATCTGTACGCTGGAGTTCAGAGTGGGGAACGAACCTTGACAACAGATAACAATAGGGGCCTGAACCAAGATCAGGCCCCATTGTGCTAGGGGCTGTACAGACACAGTGACAGTCCCTGCCCTGCAGATCTGACTGTTTCACTACACAAACGGAGGACAAAGGAAGGAACATTATCTCCATTTTGCAAATAGGGAACAAAGGCCTAGAGAGACGCAGTGACTTGAGCTAGGTCCCACAGGGAGCCAGGAAATGAACCCAGATCTAGTCCCAGTCCAGTGCTGCAACTACTAGGCTTTCTATGTGCCGCATGCCCCAGAGTACATGGAGCCTGGCTGCCAGGTCCTCTCCTGCTGCAGCATGTGCTGCCCGTCCGGAGAGCAGCCCAGAGGGGGGGCGGGTCTGGAGTGGCAATAGCAGCAGGGCAGGTGGTGCCATCTGGGTGCAGCACTGGGTTCCCCATCCTGCCCCACTCACCCGGCCTGCAGCAGACAAAGTGGCCCCCGGTGAAGGTGCGCAGCGAGACCTGTGCAGCGCTGGGCTCCAGAGCAAAGAACTCGTCGCGCCCTGGCTTGTCCGTCTTGAAGGTCTTGACGGTGTTCTCCCTCCCGGTCAGGTACCTGCCATCTGCGTCCCGCAGGGCCAGCAGGCCACCCCG